ACTGGTTCTATATCTGGGCTCTTGGCGACTGGCTGGCTGGGAACATTCATCTACAGCAGATACATATTGAATAAACGAAGAAACCTAATCATGTAACCCAAAGAACCCCATCCAAGTGGAAATTTCACACCGTAATGAGAATAGAAGAAAGCATCCAAAAGATTCCTTTCTTCCCCGTTCTGGCTTTGTGTTCTACATTACAAATTATAACGTAAGTGTGGCTTCAGCACAAAGTGTACCTACACACAGCCGTTACTAAACCAATTTGGCAGAAACAAAACAAATAAAAAAAACTTGTCCTGAGCCAGAAGCTTTCAGTTAGATAAATCACTGCCTTAAAGAGGGATTTTTTTCGTATTGCAGGAAGACCCTTCAAAGCCTAAGTCGGACCATGCATCTCTCTGCTGGAAACTCCCAGAGGACCCACCATACCTCCCTCACTCTGTGCCTCCCCACCCCCACCCCAGCCATCTCTGACATTACCTCTTACCACTGCACCACCCCCTCCACAAGCCTCCCGACTTCCTGTTTCTGGAACGCACTTCTGCCTCAGGGCCTTTGCACTTGCTGTTTGCTCTTCTCAGAATGCTCTCCACCTATATACCCGCACTGTTCACCTTACTTCCTTCATGTCTCCCCTCGAATGTCTCTGTGTTCTGGAAGCCTCTTTTGATTATCAAATAGAAAGATAGTGACCCTTCTTCCCCCAACCCAGCAAGCCCACCCCTCCTCCTTTGGTACCCAGATCCCAGAACTTAGCACCGTCTGACACCGATGTACTGTTTTAGTAGGGTTTAGTAGCTGTCCATCTGCTCCATCACGCCACCTCCACTAACTCCTCTCCATGGGGGAAGGGGTCTTGTTCCATTCAAGGCGAGTCTCCAGCACCTACAATGCCTGCCACCCTGTCGACGCTCAATGAATATTTGTCCTCCTCCACAAACTAACCTAGAAATGCAGTGCAATCCCAAAGTCGCAAGTCGATATTTTCTGAAATGCTACACACCCGTGAAAAGATTCACACACTACCTGTTAGAGGTGCTGGTTCCAGAACATTACGAATGTGCTAAATGCCAGGGAATTGTTCTCTTTAAAATGATTAATTTTCTCTTACGTCAATTTCACATCAATAAACAATGGCTCGGTGTAATACTATCACGCTCCTATTAGAATGGCTAAAATTTCAAAGGCTGCCCACAGCAAGCGAAGGGACAAGAATAAATACGTTACTTGGGGAGAAAAGTAAGAGTGCACCCACTCTGTAAAATTGGCGTTTCTTTAAAATTAAAAGGGGCACCTGGTTGGCTCAGTCAGTAGCGCTTGTGACTCCTGATCTCAGGGTTGTGAGTTCAAGCCCCGTTTTGGGCATGGAGGCTACTTAAAAAAATTAAATTAAATTAAATATATACCTACCACGTGATGCAGCCGCTCCACTCCTGGGGTACTTACCCAAAAGGAATAAGAGCACATGAAGAAAGTTAGACCTAACTTCATAGCAGGGGGCACCTGGGTGGCTCAGTCGTTAAGCCTCTGCCTTTGGCTCAGGTCATGATTCCAAGGTCCTGGGATGGAGCCTGCTTCTGGCTCCCTGCTCGGTGTGGAGCCTGCTTCCCCCCCTCCCTCTGCCTGCCTCTCTGCCTACTTGTGATCTCTATCAAGTGGGTAAATTTTTTTTAAATCTTAAAAAAAAATGAGTTAACTTTTAGTACATGCAACAACGGGTACAGATCTTAAATGTGTCAAGTAAAAGACACCAGATAGAACAGGCCACCTATTACCTGCATCTAGAACTGCAGTGGGGGCTCAGTCGGAAGAGCGGGAAACTCTTGATCTTGGGGCCGAGAGTTCAAGGCCCACCTTAGGTACAGAGATTATTTAAATAAATATTGTTTTAAAATAGAAACGTAATGAATCTATAGTGTCAGAAGCCAATCAGTCGTTGCCTGGGTCATGAGGGGGGTAATAAAAAAGGGCCACAGGGAAACGCGGGGGGAAGACCCTTGAACACTTGATGTAGCTGTAAGAAGTATGGCATCAGAGGCCGCCTATGGTGCGACTCCATCGTTATGAAATATCCAGATCTGGCAATCCCACAGAAACAGAAAGTGGGTTATTAGGAGCCGGGGGCTGGGGAATGGCGATGGGGAGTGAGTGCTAATGGGGGCAGGGTTTCCTTTTGGGGGATGGCAAGGTCTTGGAACTCGGTGCCCAACACTGTGAACGTACTAAGCACCATGGAATGTCTACTTAAACTGGTTATGGTTAATCCAATGTTAATTTTTCCTTAATTAAAAAAAAAAAGAGGAAAGTCAAGAGTTAGAGAGACAAGCACACACCCGTCCCCCCTGCTCCCCATCCTCCCCTGGAGCCCGCCCCCACACTGGCTCCCAGCCACCTGCCAGGGTCCACTGCCTCCTCTTCCTGGGCTCCCCAAACACTGCCCTCCCCAACTTTTAAATTTGGACTGTCCCTGCGGTTTCCTGGAAATGACTCACTGAGCCTGCTGCATGGGACAGCAGAGCGAGCTCCACGCTGGGGAACAGAGGCAGCTGAAAGCCCAGCCTCCTCAGAGCGACAGACATTGGTCCCCGTGCCTGTCCCAGCAAGCAGATGACAGAACTGCAGTCCCGCATTACATTACACAGAACTGCTGTCATCTGCATGCTGGGACAGGCACAGGGACCGATGTCTGTCTGTGGGCAGAGCCGTGGGCCCACAGATAGTCAGCTGGTTGATGGGAACAGGAGTCCCCCCACACCTGCCTGCCCCATCATCTGCCCTCTCCCCTCTTCGTGGAAGGTGGCCTGCAAGGATGGCACCACGATGCCGGTCCTGTCAAGGTTCATGCCCTTGTGTGGTCCCCACGCACATCTGGGCTAACCTGGGACTCCACGGAAGCAAGAGAAGGCATCAAAAGGGACACTGGGCTGTCTCGCTCAGGGGGCCCGGGGGTGGGGGGGCCACTGCCCTGGCCATCCCAAGGCACCAGACATGCCAGAGAAATTCTAGATGCTGATGTCCACCCAGCCCAGCCCCCAGAGGACAGCAGCCACCATTCATTACATGGGACGGAAGAACGGCAGCAGACGTGACAGAAAACATGTGGCCGAGGGTTTGCTCCTCTGAACCCATGTGACGCCGACGGATGAGCCAGACCTCTGCTTAGGTGACATGTGACAGTGGCCTCATACCCCACTTCCTCCCTTGCCCTCTGACCCACTGATGCTGACCACGCCTGAGCAAAGGGGAGAAAAACCTAAAAACAAGAAAATCCAACCCAGCTCCGAGCAACACTGCCAGATAAGGAATTCATTTGCCCTGCCCCTGAAACTCCCTCTTTCAGAAAGCCCTGGGGGGTCCTAGATAGTTGACTGCCCGTTACCCCACTTCTCCCTCCCAGCCTCAATTCCTCTTTTTATGCTTCAAATTCACTAAAAAAGGGGACACCTAGGGGGCTCAGTCTGTGAAGCGTCTGCCTTCAGCTCAGGTCATGATCTCAGGGTCCTGGGATCGAGCCCCGCATCGGGCTCTCTGCTCAGTGGGGAGCCTGCTTCCCCCTCTCCCTCTGCCTACCTCTCTGCCTACTTGTGATTTCTGTCAAATAAAATCTTAAAAATAAAGAGATAAATCTATCAGTAAAGGGTGAATCCCCAAAACCCTGGACACCCCACCCTCAGACCCTGACAAAGGCAGAGCCCCAGGTCCACTCTCTCTCTCTCTAGGTTCCCCGTGACCTTGCTGTGTGGCCCTCGAGGCTGCCGTGTGCCCTCTTGTGAGGACTCGTGAGTCATCGCCCTCGTTCCTCGCCCAGATAGTCTTTGCTGAAATGCATCCAGCGATCGTAAGAAGAACAAGGGCCGGCCCAGCCGTAACACTGGCTGCAGACAGGAAAGGTTTAAGTGGGGGCGGGCTGGACAGAGCAGAGACCCAGGCAGATGCCCCAGGCGCTCCTAGCCCGTGGCGGCACTGTCAACAGGCCAGTACCTACGGGACAGACGGCGCCTGCTCCCAGAGCCCGCTGGGGTTATTCAAACGAGCCAACCCCAATCCCACCTGCCCACGGGAACCACAATAAACGTTCTTGCCCACGTTCTCCTCGAGCTCCCTCTGCCTCCTGACCCTGGTGCTTTCTTCCCCTGCATGGGGTAGTGTGCCCACCGCACCCCATCTTTTGGGAACTGTGAGTCTTTTCAGTGGCAGTCCACGGCCCAGACCACAAAGCCCACATGTTAAAACTGGGTGGATGGGGCGCCTGGGTGGTTCAGCGGGTTAAAGCCTCTGCCTTCAGCTCCGGTCATGATCCCAGGGTTCTGGGATGGAGCCCCAAGTCAGGTTCTCTGCTCAGCAGGGAGCCTGCTTCCCTTCCTCTCTGCCTGCTTCTCTGCCTACTCATGATCTGTCAAATAAACAAATAAAACCTTTAAAAAAAAAAAAAAAAACTGGGTGGAGCCCAGACCCGCCCTGGGACGCCCATTTTACATCTCAGAGAGCGAGAAGCCTGACGGACGGCGGTCCCCCGGGACTCTGCACAGGGGCCGGTGGGTAAGGAAGACCACCCGCTGCCCCAGCCCCACCGCCGCCTCCTCTGGGTCCCAGGAAGCCAGAGGCAGAGCGGCCGAGGGAGCGCCCAGGGCTGGGTCCCCGAGTCCCACCCTCTGGGGATACTGCCACCATGGAGGAGGGGCTGGAAGGGAGACCCTGGGCTGCCCGGGTAGAGAGAGACAGAGGCCCAGAGGCAGACGGAGGATGTGAAGTAACTTTAATCAGCACCTTCCGATGGGGGCAGGAGTGTCTACGTGTGGGGCCGCTCCTGGGAGCAGGCTGGGGCCAGCCCCTCCGTGCTGGCTGCAATGCACTCCCCCCATGCAGGGTCCCGGCACCCCCAGCCTCTCTGGGGCCAGCTGCAGGAGCTCGGCTCCACGGTGCTGCCTGGACGGAAGGACCCACGGCTGAGGGCTGGTGTGCCAGCACCCGTGCGCCACCGCTGACGTACAAGGTCTCCAGAGCTGCTGCCGCTCTGGGACCAGGAGCCTGGGTGGCAAGAGCTCGTCCTCAGAGCAGCGAGGTCTTCCTGTCTGACAGCAGCAGGGACTCCTTCACGACCACCAGCAGCCCCAGCGGGTGCAGGCGCCCCCGGGCACAGAGCCGGGACAGCACGAACAGGGAGATGGCAGCCACACCGGCACTGAGCACCACTGCGGGGTCAGACAGGCAGGAGTCAGCAGGAGCAGGAACTGGCTGCACAGAGAAGGGGGTGTGCAGCCTGTGTCCTCCCCAAGCCCCAGGAGAAGGAGGGCCTGGCCATCTTACCCGCAGCTGCGATAACCCCACAAGCACTCCGGTTTCCAGACTGGACGGAGTCCTCGTCCCCAGTGGGGGTGGCTGTGACATTCCTGAGAGAGGGGACACTGTGCGGGGTCATGGGGGTCCCCATGGATGTGGCAGTCCCTTCCTGGAGGGTCTCAGTTCCTGCAATAAGTCCAGGCATTCAGCAGCTGGGGGTGGGCACTGGCAGGGGGGAGGAGAGACCACGGGGACACGAACATGTGTTCCAAATGCGGGGGACGGGGGTGGAAGGGACCTTGCGGCTCATCTCCCGCTGCCCCCAGGGGATGCAGGCCCAGGTGGATGCAAGTGTCCACACTTTTAGCCTGGTCACCCAGCAGAAGGTGTCAAGTGTCCTTATCTAACGGCCAGCCCTCCCCACCCCTCCAGGCACTCTGAGGTCCCAGGGCACACACCACAGCCAAGCTCATCACTGGAGTCGGGACAGTCAGGATGGCCATCACAGAGCCACGTGTGTGGGACACAGGTACCACCCAGCAGGCAGCGGAGCTCCCCCGCCAGGCAGGGCTGGGAACTGCAGTTGTGACTGTTCTCAACGATACCATCTGGGCAGTCATCGATGTTGTCACAAGGGCAGGGGCTGCCAGTGGGTGGCCGGCACTCTCCGTCCTGGGCACAAGGCTTGATCCCTGGGGTACAAGGTCAGTCAGGTCCCAAACACCCACCCAACAGTGCTGCGGTACGCCCCTCCACCAAGCCCCCTCGTAAGCCCCCGCCTTCCAGGAACAGGTGACCTTAGAAACTCCACACATCCTAAAGATCCCCCCTTGTTAGCTCCACCTGCAGAGGCCTGGCCTCCCTTCAAGCCCTTCTTCCCGAGCCCCGCCCCCAAGTCCCCTTCCCAGTAAACCCACCTCTTCTTGTAAGACCTGCCCACTCTCAGGCCCCGCCCCATCACCCCCAAGACCACACCCCTTGCACCAGCGCCTCACCCCCTGCGGCCGCGACCCCAGAGCGAAGCCACTCACTGCAGTCCTCCTCATCGCTGCCATCGGGGCAGTCCTTGTCACCGTCGCAGCGCAGAGTGAGGGGCACGCAGAAGCCACTCGTGCGGCACTGGAAGCTGGTGGGCGAGCAGGAGCCTACAGGGGGCACACAAGCGAGGTCTGGGAGGCGCCAGGCCAGGGGCATGGAGGTTACAGACTGCGACCACTAGGAGACAGGCCAGGTCCCAGGGCGCTGGAATGACACTGGTAGCCACCATTTGCGGAGGACCTACTCGGTGGGAGGCCTGGAGCGCAGGACCTGGAGCGCAGGTTCTCCTGCCATGCCCATGCTGCAGAAGACACTGAGGAGAGTGACAAAGCCCCAGGCTGCAGCGCTGGTGGCAGAGTCCAGGTCTGAACCCAGGTCTCACTGATCCCAGAGTCTTTACCAGGCTCCAGGCCAGACGGTCTCCCCAAGAGGCCCTCCAAGATCCACAGTTCAAAGCACTGGGGTAGCGGCCATCTCCAAGCCTGCCCCGGACCAGGCCCGTGGTCAGGGTCAGCAGGGCCCGTTATATCCCACCTGCTTAGCCAAGGGGAAACTGAGGCCCTGGGCAGAGGACCTGCTTAGTTAGCAAGGCTTGTCCACTCACCTCCTAGATTCCTCCCGGATCCAACCACCTTCCCCATCCTGAATGTGCCGCCTCCTCACAAGGCCCTGTCCCCATCTCCATTTGGACACTGGGGACCTCAGAGTCACATCATTCAGTCACCTGCCCTTGCCCTCCCCTCTGCTCAAAACCATGCCCCCTTCCCCCGACCCTCTCGTGCCGAATCCGTTTTGTCTACGGGGTCGCAAGGCCCGGTCCAGCCCCACTGCGAACAATTCCTGGACCTCACCGCCTCCCTCCTCCTCCCTCTTCAACCAGCTCCCTCTGCCCTGGCCTGCTTGCTGTTCTGCAAGAGGCCTGGCTCGCTCCCACCTCAGGGACTTTGCCCGTGCTGGTTCCTGGCCCAGTCCTCCCTCGCTTCTCCCCACTCTGCAACTGGTGATTCCTCCTCAGCTTTCAGATCTCAGCTTCTTTCTCGGAGAGGGTCTCCTGCACCTCTCAGGGAGGCCTGACGCTCTGCCTTCCCCCAAAAACAACGGTCCTCAAACTGGTATCCACACAGACTGGACATGTGGTGGTGATCAGGGCCGGGACCTCGTGCCCGCAAGCCCAGGGCGATACAGACACGAGTCACACCAAGGTCCAGGCTGTGTCCTGACGAGAGCTGAGCCTTCCTGGGCCCCAGGCAGTGAGGCTCAGGCTACATGCTGATTTGGAGGAGCATGGAAGGGCCTAGAACAGGGGCCAGCAGGAGGGAGTCTGACAGACCAAGGAAAGGAATGGCCTTTAAGGCTCTTCTCTTGGGTGCAGTGGTGGGGGAGAAGGGGGTGGCACAAATACCTGCTTGGCCCCAACTTAGTGGCTCTCCAGTCCATCCTGGTACTCTTGCCACTTTCACCTTTACTTGGGCCTGTGCCTCCAGAAACCCTCTTCCCCACAGCCAGTCCGTCTACAGGCCCCCAAGCACAATGATACCTGTGGCCCACACAGTCCCAGAGCTTTTGAAGTCAGGAAGAGGTACGGCCGGACCTGGATCTGGCTTCCTTCCCTGCCCACGGGGGTGGGGGTGTCTGGCCATCTCTGGGTGCGGTTTCCTCTCCAGGCCTAGCCATTCTCAGCCCTGCCAACCTCCAGACCTCCCTCCCTAGAGTGTGGGTTCTTCCTGGAAACTGGGGGGGGGGGGCGGGCGGCAAAGCACAGCACACCAGGCCTCATAGGGATGTGGGGTCAGACAGGAGTTAGAAATGACCAGTGGGGGGAAAAAAAAAAAGTGACCGGTGACTTTCCCGTCCAGCCTCAGTTCCCTCCCCTGTAAAAGGAGCACGCTAGGAGTCCCTATCTCAGGGTCCGGAGGAGAGGAGACCACTTGCAGTTTGGTACTTGGTTAAAGTGAGTCCTGCCCCCTTAAAGGACCCAGGAACATTTAGCCTGTAAAGGCAGGGTCTTTGGGATGAGCCAGGAGACCAGATCAGACGGGAGCTCACAGCTGAAAGCGCGGATCACCTGTGCCTACAGGGAGATCACTCTATCCCACCGCTCTGGGAACCTCAGAGATGTCCACCAAGATCACTTAGGCCCAGGAGCAGGTGTCCAAGGGCCTGGGGTTACCGGGAGGGAGAGAAAACTTTTGCTAAGGCCAGAGGAGGAAGGCGCAGGGATGGGGAGGATGAGGCCTGGTGGCCCAGGAAACTCAGCCATATGGCCTCGGGGTCGGACGGGGGTATATTCGCCGCAGCGGCTGCTAAGAGGCACCAGGTGACCGGCCATGCAGTTAGAGGTCGGACAACCGGAGCCTCCAGCAAGCCTTCCTGCCCACGCTGGGCTGAAGGGCGGCTTGGAGGTGACAAGGGGGTCCGCCAAAGCGGAGCGGGAGTGGGGTGTGAGAAGGCAGAAGCCGGGCAGCGAGAGGCAGGCAGGGCCACCCAGGCGACGGTCGCTCTCTGGGGAAGGCTGGCTCAAGGGCCGGGCTCCCGGCACGCCAGAGTCTCGAGCCACGTGCGGGGGGAGTGTCCGGGACCCACGAGCGGCACAGCCAATGGCGAGGCGCCGCCGGCGCGCGGGGCGGGCCGGCGGAGGGGCGCGCGCGCGCGGGGTACGCGGGGCGCGGAGCTCACTCACCTGGGGCCTGGGCCAAGGACTGGGTCGGCACCGGGGTCGGGGCTGCCTGCAGGCCCAGCCCGAAGCCGAGCAGCAGCCGCAGCGCCAGGCCCAGGGATGCCGGCCGCCGCACTCCGCCCTGCGCCATGTAGCGTCTCTCCGCTCCGCCCCCGCCCTGGAACTGACCACGCGCCGACCCGGCCTCGCTTTTATCCCCGCGCACGCGCGCCGCCGTCGGGGGCGGTGCACCCCGGCTACGCGTACCGTAAAGGTCCGAATACGAGGGGACCCACAATTTGAGGCTCTAACCCACTTTTCCTGGTGACAAGGTCTATGGAAAAATCCCGGCCCGTTTGAAGTGAGAAACTGTGGGGATGTAAAGGAACTCGTCGGTGTCTACTCACAACATCGAAGGCGTCGCATGGATCCTGCAGCAAATGTGACTGTCTAATTATCATAGTTAATATGGCAGCCACCCCCTGAGGCACGCTCCAGCCTTTGCCTCCTCCAGCTTCTCTTCTGCACCCAGCTTTGCTACTTTGCTCACTTTGACTTAGTGTCTCATGACCCACTAGAAGGTCAGCGGTAGGACAGGAGTGCTGTGTTGTTCATTGCGTCCCCAGTGCCCAGCACAGGGTCTGCCACCATAGCGGGCTCTTCAATATTTAGTGAATAAATGAATGAAACACTTCCAGAAGTTCCATCAGGGGTCCTGTCCCTCGCACCTGGGAGCGCTCACCCACGCCCACTGCCTCCTTCAGTCTTCCTCACCGGGAGGTAGGTCGTATTCTTCCGAAACAAGATACACAAAGGCTGCCCGTGGGCTTTCTCTTCTCGTGCTTAACCCATAGGCACATAAAATACAAATCTTCTGGGGCGACTGGGGGGGCTCAGTCGGTTAAGCGTCCGCCTTTCCCTGGGGTCATGATCCTTAGGGTCTTGGGATCAAGCCTTAGCATTGGGCTACCCCGCTCAGCGGGGAGCTTGCTTCTCCCTCTCCCTGCGGCTCTGCCTACTTGTGCGCTCTGTGTCAAATAAATAAAATATTTAAAAAAAAAATACAAACCTTCTACAGACTTTCTAGCCAATCAGAGGCTGAGTTTTCTTGAAAATAAATACTTTATCAATAGCTCTGCCTTCAGAAGAGGCAACAGGTGGACTGCCAGCAGAACCCCAGACAAGTGGCGCTCCCTCAGTGCTAGGTGTACAAGCATTGACCATCACCCCAAACCCCCACCCCCATTTCCTGGGAAGCAACACTAAAGCATCCCAAGTTTTCCCACAAGGGGCTCTGTGTGCAGGTTGTTGGCAAGCTTCACGATTTGAAAATGTTGAAAGTTATAGCTGCTTTTGGAGTGTGTATGTTATATGTGTCTGTCGGGGTTTTCTGTTGTTAAAAAAAAAAAAAAAAAAATCTCCCAAATATCCCAGGGGAAATGGGTAAGAGTCAAAGGTGTACAGGTGCAGAGGCAGGTGGAAAGCTGACAAACAGGACTGTGCATGGCAGGGGTGGGGAGTGCCCCATCTTTGAGGCTCAGAGGTCTCTGGGGTGCAGGGATAAAAGCTGAAGACGCCGTGGATCTGTAGTAGTTAGGCGGACTCATCAGCTGTCAGGTTCAATGTCCTTGAGCCTAGCAAGTTCTTGTCCTTCCATTCCTGTTTTTCTGCTGAGGGGGTGTGGCATCATCCATGATCTCCCAGGATTGCTCCACAAAGAGGCCGAGATCCCCAGAGCGTTCAAAACAGTACCTAGCGCACAGAACTCAGTTGTCAGACCTCCTTCCCACCCCCACTCCCTTGCGAAACTTCAAGTCTGTGTCACCAAACTATTCAGAAACCTTCGATGGCATACCTTGCCCGCAGTCTGTGGAAGCCCTCAGGGCAGCTTCCTTATGACCTCAGGACACCCTGCCCAGACTTCCTCTCCCTCCCAATCTCTTTCCTGAATCTGACTCAGCCTTTGCTCCAATTAGAGTCCCACCTCCTCCAGAAAGCCTGCCCTGAGGGCTGCAGCCTGGAGTTTTCTCCCAGGGGAGCTTTTAGCATTTGTATCGCCAACTCTGAGGCTCCAAGATACATCCTGCCTTGCTCTTGGCTTCCAGAGAGCAGGGCAGTAGCAACACCCGGATCTTCCTACATCTCCTCACCTACTGAAGGACTGTGGGGGTTCTTCCGCAGGGCAGCCATGACACGCCCCCAGTTGAGGTCCCTACATGGCTCCCCATTGTTCCTTCGGACAGACCTGGTTTATTTTTCTGGCTTTCACTCAACAGCTCATTCCTCTACAAGGACCAGCCCCTTCCTTTCCTAGGCTGACTCCACCTTGCTCCCCAGGCCCACAATGAAAGGTTTCTAGTTCATGGGGTGCGTGGGTTTAAGCCTTTGCCTTTGGCTCAGGTCATGATCTCAGGGTCCTGGGATCTAGCCCCGCATTGGGCTCTCTGCACAGTAGGGAGCCTTCTTCCTGCCCAACCCCACCTCCGCCCCGCCCTGCCTCTCTCTCTGCCTGCCTCTCTGCCTACTCGTGATCTCTGTCAAATAAATAAAATCTTTAAAAAGAAAAAGAAAGAAAGAAAGGAAGGAAGGAAGGAAGGAAGGAAGGAAGGAAGGAAGGAAAAAGGAAGGTATCTGGTTCAGGAAGGCCTTTCTTCACCTGTCCTAGGTGAGCCTTCTCTGGAGTTGCCCTGCTGTCCTCAGTCACCCCCACGAAGCTGCAGGGCACTCAAGGCCAGATGGGGGCAGCCGTGGAAGGGCACTGGCTGGTGTCTACATGAGCAACAGCAATGGGAACTCGAGAAACCTAAGGGAGCAGCTTGCGTTCAGCCTTGGGGTCCTTCAACGTTAGTGCCCCCCAAACACCCAAAGGTCCTAGAACCCAGCCTACTGCTCTCTAGGTTAGCCAGGCCCCCAAGAAGGGACGGTGACAACACTGGAGCCTCTGGACCCCATGGCATCAGACTCGGTGCCCAGTGACAGCACGTAACCCTGAAGCTCAGGGACCCCTCTCCCTCCCCCGCGCCCTGAAGCGCTGGCAGAGAGAACAGAATCAGCACCAACTTCCACAGGAAATCCAGGAAGTCGTACGCAGCTTCAAAAAGTCAGAACCAGAAGTGACACTAGAGAGCTGGGTGTATTTGTCATAAATTAGGTCACGTTCTCCTCGGAAGGAACACACGGAGGGGAAGCACTCAGGTGGCCCCGGGAGCAGAGTCACAGGTAAGGCTGGTCTTTGGACAGCTCCCACCTCTTCATGGGAGGGGCTGGCGACACAGCCTTCTTCTCAGTGGCAGCTGCAGCTGAGCTGGAAGGGAAAAGAGACTTTGGTTAGAGCCAGGTCTCCGGAGAGCAGCGTGGGCGGATCTGAGGGAGCCCCACACCTGCGCCCAGCAAGACCATGCCTGCCGGGACTGTGCGCAGGCCAGCAGGAGTGTGTTTCAGAATGCCCAGACGCCTTCACTGGGGTCCCCCAGAGGGTCAGCCAACCCTCACTGGGAGCTGGCCAGCCCCCTTCCCACCCAACCCCCCACTGAATGCCCAGTCAGCCTGCCCTGGCTCCTGAGCTCAAAGGCAGCCATGAAGAGCTGGCCGCCTCCTCTAGTACCCCCTCCCACTTGTGGCCCCAGGGTGGACGAGCACCTGACTCCTGTTGCCCCCAAATAGGATACTGGCAAAAGGGCCAAGCAATCAGGTGACGGGCGCCCACGGCTCTCTCCCCATCGGGTGCTGAGCACTTGACACGTGGCAGGAACTGCCCGTGCCCCGGCAGAGCGCTAAGACCCGGCCTCAGTCTAATGCGGCTGAGAGTCAAGTGCAATTGGTAAATACTCCGTTTGGGGCGCTCGGGTGGTTTAGTCGGCTAGGCGTCTGACTCTTGGTTTCAGTTCAGGTCATGATCTCAGGGTCCTGAGACTGAGCCCTGCATCAGGCTCCTGGCTGCGTGGGGAGTCTGTCCCCACCACCCTGCCCCCGACTCTCCCCCTACTTGTGTATGCATGCATGTGCCAGCTCTCTCTCTAAAATCAATCAATCAATCTTTTAAAAAAAAAAGAGGAAGAAAAAAAAAAAGAATGCACCATTTGACCCAGAGTGAGCCCCAGGAGAGACACTAGCAACAAATCCAAGGAGGGTGCCCCGAGACACCCAAGCCCCTGGGCCCCTGGTGCCTCAGGCCAGAGAGGCTGGTGCACGGTCAACCAACAAGGGAGAGGAGGCGGGTGGGGAGGCTCTCTTGTGGAGAAGACCCCCAGGAGCAGGGGTTCCAGGGCTGCCCACCCTCCCAGGGGTCTGAAGGAGGTGGAAGAGGCAGAAGTGGCCTCCCTAGGAAAGTCAGGCATCCCAGGAGCAGGTGAGGGGCTGTGGGGGGAACTGGGTAGTGTGCCAGTCTGGTGCTGGACTCTGGAGAATCAGAAGGTAACAAGGACCATGACATTGGTCATTCACTGAGTTCTAACTACACAGCAGGCCTTGCCCGGCCTCATCACCTTACAGATCTCGTCACACTGCAAGCCCACCATTCCATTTTACAGATATAGAAACTGAGGCTCAAGAAGGACGGAACAGGGGCGTCTGGGTGGCTCAGTGGGTTAAAGCCTCTGCCTTCAGCTCAGGTCATGATCCCAGGGTCCTGGGATCGAGCCCCGCATCGGGCTCTCTGTTCAGCAGGGAGACTGCTTCTTCCTCTCTCTCTGCCTGCCTCTCTGCCTACTTGTGATCTGTCTGTCAAATAAATAAAATATAAATAAATAAATAAATAAATAAATAAATAAAAAAGAAGGACGGAACACTGGCTGCAGACCATACGATGAACCGGCTATAGAGCCCAGACACCACTGGGGGTCTGAGCAAACTGGTCTGAAATCCTGCTTCAGCTCCCCACTAGCTGTGTGACCCAGTCAGGTCACATGGCCTCTCTGTGCCTCGATTTCCTCTTCTGCAACAGGGGCCATCACTGCCCAACTTGTGGAGGGGTCAGTAGGCAGGCATGGCACTGACTCCATCCTAAAACCCTACAAATATTAACTATGAAGATTAAACTTCCTAACAACTCTGCTATAGACTCAATGTTTTGTGCCTCCCAAACTCCTGCTGAAATCTCAACCCCCAATGTGACGGTATTTGGAGGCAGCACGCTTGGGAGGTGATTAGGGAGGAGGC